GTATACGAGACTCAAATATCTACTTGGGTCTAACAATGAGTCTTCGATTTGTTTCGACCTAGATCTGGAACATAGCAAAATGCTTCATACGACAATCCGGCCATTAACTCCCGAAAATTTTGATTCAAATTCCACTACTTGGCAAATGGGCGTAAGTGTTTTATACGCTCTATGACTCTCGGTTATTCATTTCCAGTCGTATAATCCGGTCCCCGCCTCCGTCCTTTTGTTCTGTTTAAACCAGCCCTCCCNCCCCCTCGGTTCCACCCTACCCGCCCCTTCCACCCGCTGGTAACGCTCCTTTAAATCTCGGCCAGCGACAGCACCATTTAACTCTTTCCCGACCATTGTTACGCGGTGCGGTTGCCGGGTGTACCAAGACCTCGTCTCGATTCCCGCGAGTCGATCGCACTAATTTCTTAATTAGCGACGCAAAGCGACAACGGTGCTTTCACGCTCCTGCGACACCCATTCACCGAACTGGATCGGACGGAAGATGCATCACAACAAAAAAAAAAAAAAAAAAAAAAAAAAAAAAAAACAGCTCCACTGTGGACTCGCACGCCCGCAGTCCGGCCGGTGATGCGGCATTATCTAACACCTGCGTTTTCGATACTCTTAATTAGGGGCTCAAGGTTGAGCCAGCAAAAATGATCTGCACCGGCGGCGCGGCGTGCTGCCAACACGGCACGCGCACTGGCGCCTACAAACCTAACAGGGATACTTCACGCATTGCGCAATGCGTGAAGTATCTCTGTTAGGTTTGTAGGCGCCAGTGCGCGTGTCGCGCTGGTCGATCTCGCCCGCCGCACAGTGGATCGAATCAATCAGAGAGGTTGGACATGGAATATTTGGCAGAAATTGCAAATTTCTAGGTTAATTTCATTACATGATGAATTTTAGGAGGTGCTCCTGGAAGAAAATCTCACGAGAAAGCCATTTTTAGAACATCAAATTCATGTATGAACGGAGTTAAAAGCTTTCAATGTTTCCAAATTTTGTTCGACCTCTCCTATTGAATCGGTCCAATGTGCGGCGTGGTCACAATTTTTTGAGCAATATCCAAATTTCGAAAAGCTCGGCGACTGAAGCGGAGATTCTCAGTCCCAGCGGCAAAAATTTGGTAAAAATGCCGCAAAATTGGCACACTAAACCAATAAGTTCTTAATTTCGGCAGCTGGACCCGAGGAACTGTCCTCAATGTGGTGACAATGCGTCGTCTTCCGGGCGAAGAAACGTAACTCCATTCCAAGGTTACCAGATTGGCTCACGCAATTACTTTGTTTTACATGCATGTACCTCTGCAAATTTTATTCTAAATGTTTCTGATCTCGAAAACGACAATCCGTACACTGGAAAAAAAAACACATTGGATCTAGAGTCCAGATTCTTGAAAACATTGACAAGAAAAAGGACTCTTGATTCGATCAGATTTAAGCTTAAATCAAAAGGAAATCCTCTCAAATTAAGAGGCTTGGTTCTTGATTTAAGCTTAAATCTGATTGAATCAAGAGTATTTTCTCTTGTCGATGCTTTTAAGAGTCTGAACTCTAGATCCAATGTGGTTTTTTTTTTTCCAGTGTACTTTTTATTTATTGTTAGTTGCATCCAGTTTATTTTCTGAGCGGAAAAAGAGACACATCCAAAAATTTAACGAACAAGTTCATTAAGCAGAGTCTCTTCATCCTATAGTCTCCCTCCAGTGTCTCCCCCTCTCAACCATTCTCACAGAGTATTTAGCACAAATAAAAAACACGAGCCTTACGAGTCGACAACTTGTCGCTCCGCTGACGAAATGATGTAACTCCAGTTTATCGTGAGTTCTGGAAAACATGGAGTCATGCCGGATAAAAGGCTCATCTTAGAATACAAATAGGCTCTTACGTCAGACGAGCGACGAACTCCCGCATGATGCAACTCTTTGATCACCTTCGCGGAACCGTACAGGGGAGCGAGTCGATTGAAGAGATTGGACAAGAGCATAAAAACCTTTTTTTTTCATTTATACAAAAAGTAGAAGTTAAAAAGTGTTTCCATTGGTTATCTCGTAAAATTCCCTTCCATACAAACCCCTTAAAATTTACAATGTGACGTATTAAACATCAAAATGGACCACTACACAAGGTACGAATTTCAGCATTCTAATACATGTTTCTTCACCAAAATGTTACTTAAAACACGATGCGTACAACGAAAATTACCGAAATCAACTCCTTCCGAAGATATTTAATGATTCTTGTGGCGTGCATCGACACCACCCGCTCATGAAAACTCAATGATCTACGTGATTCACATCGCGCGCTAAAAGTTATCATGAACGTCTCTGCAATAAAAAAATCTGGCAACCTCAATCTTGACGCTTTGGCTCAGCTATAGCAAATAAGTTGGAATATAATATAATAGAATAAGCAATATAGTTGGAAAAACGCATGGTGGGAAATGAACATTGCTCGATTGAGAAGCTTGCTGAAACCGTTGTAGTGCGCGATTTGACTCATGTGGAGCTTTGAGTTTCGTGTGCGTGGGCAGTTCAAATTCAGCGTAACCAAAGTAAAATAAAAATGTTAATATCTCCGTTCGGAAATGATTTCAGTAATTTTTGTAGCGCAAATCGTGTTTTACGTGAAATTCTGGTTGAGGAACATGTATCAGAATGCTTAAATTCTTACCAAAGGCTAGTGGCACTGTGCGCCGAGCATTGACGCGAGGATAACGCGGATCCGTCATCAAACGCGAAACACAAAGAGCACACCTGGATGTCCAAGTGGGCCAGTGGCGTGGCGTGAATAATCGATTATCGATATCTCGCCACTTGAAGCTACGGTAAAGAATCGATTACTAAGGTGTTCGCTGCGAACACCCTGATAATCGATCTTTTTTCATAGGTTTAAATGGCATAACAATCGATATATCGCAATTCACGCCACGCCACTGAAGTGGGCCCTGGAAAGCAACGAGTCGAATAGAGGACAGGGTTGACGTCGACTTACCCTCGCGCCTGGCTACATGACGTGACGTCAGGAGTCTATCGAACGCGTCAACGCGGGTTCTTTTTGCGCGCTCGACACGTTGCAGCGCTGCGAACACGTTCCACGTTCTACGGCGAGAACAATGCCCTCGTTGGGAGTGCGCGGCGCATTCTTCTCGTTCGCGGCCGTGTTCCGCTCGCATTCCGCTCCAGTTGAGCGCGGTTATTCGGAAACGAATGCGATGCGCCCGCCCCGACACGAATTCTGCTCTGCCGTGCTCAGGAAAAAAGCCGTATGAGCCTTCAGGCGTTGCCAAATTGCCTTTGATATATATGAGTCGCTTTTATAGCGCTCTTTGGCGCTGTGCGACGCCTAATCGCCACAAAGCTCGGTCTTCCCACAGGTCATCAGGGAGTTGACAATCTCTTATCTCATTTAACACCCCCTGTCGCCAACCTCTCACTGGGTGTCCCCTACGTCTCCTCCCAGGAGGAACCCAATCAAGCATCTTTTTTGGCAGCCTCTCTTCCGTCATCCTATTGACATGACCATACCAAACAAGTTGTTTGGTCATGACGTCGAACACGATGTCATTTTCGACTTCCATTATCTGACGCACTCTATCATTACGGACCCGATCTCTCCTAGAAATTCCTGCCGACCTTCTCCAGAAATCCATCTCCGTTGCTCTTAGCATATCCTGTGTCCGTTTCTTCAGCTGCCAAACTTCACATCCGTATGTTAATATACTTTTTACTACAGCGTTGTATATCCTCCTCTTGTTATCTTTGGAAATCCGCTGATCCCAGAGGATTCCATTTAACATCGCTATAGCCTTCCTTGCTAAGGTGTTCCTTTCCCTGATAGCTTGATCCGTCCTTCCATCCTGGGTCAACCGCACTCCCAAGTACTTTGCCTTTGATAAAACTCGAATTTCCTTGTGAACTTATGAATATTTTCCTTCCAATTTTTTTAGATAATTTTGTTCGTAATTTCATCTATGGTTCCTGAAAATTTCAAGGCAAGATATTCATAACTTCTCTCAAGAATGAACATTTTATCGAGAAGAATATGGCAACTCTCGAATGTTCATTCGGCGTTTTTCCTGGGCAAGGCAGAGTTAGCTCGCAAACGGCTCTGGGTCAGCTCCAGTTGAAATTCGATGTTGCTACCCACACCCCGAACTGCCGTGGTAAGGAAGCACGCTGTATGCACCTCCGTGCATTCCCAAAAATTGTAAATCGGTTTACGGTTTAATTGTAATTGACCGAAAAAAAAGAAGCTCCCAGTTATCATGAACAAGGACAGTTTTAACTATGAGTACAAAGATTTTAGGAAGGTTCCATGGGATATTCTTCGGGAAAATGATCAATCCTAGATGCATATATTCAGGCTATTCTCACGCTGAAGATCGTATGCAATATTAGTGTATAGTGTACGTCTCCATTAATGACATCAATCCTCGAAAACTATTCCAATTTTTTTTTTCCTATTCTATAATCAATGAAACGAGGAAGCTATTCTCTAACATGCAGATCTAAGTTAATGATAATTCAAATTCTGGGGATAAAGCGCACCCAAGGCCCGCATGAGCTATGCCCTTGGATGCAATCAAGTAAGATAGGCTTCAGGACGAGGGGAAATAATAGGTAAATGATTCAATATTGACGTTTTTAAATCTTGGACTTGGGTATTTTTCAAAACAAACGAGATCCATGCATGCTCATATTTTCGAGTTTGCATGTTTGTAGGAGGAAAAGAAGCTACATTTTTGGCCCGTTAAAGTACCACAAGTGATGTAAAATAGAAAATAACATTTTGGAGTAAATATAAAACATGCACGCGACTTCGGAAACAACTATTTTTTAGAGAAACGTATTTTCCATTTTTCTGGATCAGGCAATTATATAAGCGATCAATCCATTTCCCTAACATCCGCTCAGCAATTATTATGGACAGATGTACTCTGCATAGTGCAACAAACAACTGAACCGTAAAAACATGATATTATGAATAGTATATTAATTTTACCTTTGCTTCCAATGCTGTCAGGACGTAGAACAGGAGAACAAGCAGCCTAAACACAGTCATCTGAAACACATGACAATTATTCTGCATTAATATTTACAAGTAACAAACAAATGAGGAGCTTGGAGGACAAGGCACATAAGTGCAATATTTGAAAAATTGAGATATTAAGGAACTCAACTAAAACTAGTTTGAAAGTATATTCTGTGTGAAATTCACAAGTAAAATCCGACTTTCAAGCATTAAAAAATGAGATTAAACTTCCTTTTCGCTATAAGGCTCCGTGTAATTTTGGAACTTCAAATACTGATTTCTCGAAACCGCAAAAACTGCACTTATGCGCCTTGTCCTCGAAGCCCCTCAAATACAATCACAGAAAACCCACATATGAAAAACTAAAAATTCACACAAAAAAATCTTTCTTCTTGACTTTTTCCCCGCCAGTTTTTAAATCCTTCCCTCCTCCTCACACGCACAATAGGGTGAGGACGTCAGTTTCAAGAAGCCGACACGAAAATCATCACTCAGTTGACGCCAAGTTGACGTCTCTATTGTGCTTGCTGAGAGCTAAAAGCCGTGCGTGAAAAGCGACGCTGCCGCGACGGGAAATCAACGACATTTTCTACGGTGAAATTGAAAATTTCAGAGGAGATTTTGCGCGTAATTTGGTTGCCGTGTGGAAGAGCATCACTTCGTCCGGAGGTCGTTGATCTTGACCTGTCAACAGCCACACACGAAACCCATTAAAAAAGGACGGCCAGTACTGCCGTGCCAGGGAAAAACGCCGTATGAACATTCGAGAGTTCCCAAATTTCCTTCTATAAAATGTTTATTTTTGAGGAGAGTTATGAATATTTACTCCTAAAATTTTAAGATAATTTAGATCTGATTACGGCTATAATGGAGATGTTGCCTGTGTGAGGAATTTGCGATTTGACTGTTGATTCTGATGTAAAAGTTCGCGAGAAACACGATGGTGCCACTGGTTTTCTCTGAAATCATCTCCCAAGCTCAAAAAAAAGCTCTCGAAGTGAGGCCAAAATGGAGGGGATATCCCACGCTATCCTGAGAGTCCACCTATACATCAAAACAAACTCTCCATACAAAGATAGGGAGCAAATACATTTAGCAGGGTTGCCGTGTTTTCAGTTTTAGAGTCCCCAAATAAAGTGGCAGCCCTGTCAATGTATTTGCTCCCTATTTTTGCATGGAGAGTTTGTTTTCATGTAGACGTGGATTCTCAGAATGGCGTGGGATATCCCCTCCATTTTGGCCTCAACTTGAGAGCTTTTTTTGAGCTTGGAATTGATTTCAGAGAAAACCAGTGGCACCATCGTGTTTCTCGCCAACTTTTACATAAGAATTAACAGTCAAATCGCAAATTCCTCACACATGCAACATATCCATTCGAAATATGAAAAACGGACCATAATGTCCGATTTTTTTACTCAAATCAACTCATGATATAATTTCAAGAACTTTTCATAGACTGACTTTTTCCATAAATTACACCATTTCCAAGAAAATCGATGATAAACGTCGCTGTACCGACCTACGTCATCAAAAAAATTCCAAGATGCCCGAAATGCAAACACCTCCTTTTTTTTCTCTATGCCACATAAGTTGGCCCGAGCACAAGCTTTTCAGGAATAAAGCCTTTCTCTTTCAAGGTTTTTCACTTAATATCCGCCCGAGTTTCGCAAATCATCCGTTTCTCCTCATCGCAGCTTTCATCAAATCGCAATTGCCCGGAAACTAGGACCGCACATCTTATCTGATAAAATTGCCCTTTAGACCAATTTTGGAGGATTAGGCTCGACTAGTCGATGAGTCAATTGTTGGTCTAATTTCATCACGTGAACGCAGAAGAAAAACGGGGTGAAAAAACACTAATGTGTGATCCACTTTCAAGGACAATTCTGTAATTTCTCCTACGATTTTAAATAGATTAAAACGCGTAATATCCAAAATCTAAGCTCAGATTCGGATTCCTCGTGAAAAATTGATGAGATTTTATGCATCATATGTTAGAATAGCGTGAAGGAAAGAGGTTTAATGACGTAGAAAAACACTAATGTGTGATCAATTTTCAAGGACAATTCTGTAAATTCTCTTACGATTTTAAATAGATTAAAACGCGTAATATCCAAAATCTAAGCTCAGATTTGGATTCCTCGTGAAAAATTGATGAGATTTTATGTATCATAAGTTAAAATAGCGTGAGGGAAAAGGTTTAACGACGCGCACAGATTCTGTCGTACTGGCCCTTTGAACTACGCCGCCGCGCGGGTCGCCCGAGTGAAACCGAACGGGGAGGCGCCAGCTCTAAGCGTTCGGTTTCGTCGCGAGGAATTCCTCACGATAAATTCTTATTCTTCCTCCTCCGCTGACCCACTGAGCACTACCCATGTTGCCACGTTGGATTCATATGCTCGAATCAGTATGTCTACGTTACGTCTCTGCCCTTCACGCTATGCTCGGGTATAATACATGAAATTGTATCAATTTTTAACGAGGAATCCGAATCTGAACTTCGATTTTGGGTATCACGCGTTTTAAGTCAAATTTTCTAAATCCGAAAATCTGAAATGACTGACGTGGCTTAAAATACCATCTCGGCTCCTGTTCGATGGATTTTCCTGAAATTCGGTGTCAGGGTATGATACATGAAATCGCATCGATTTTCAACGAGGAATCCGAATCTGAGCTTCGATTTTGGGTATCACGCGTCTTAAGTTAGATGTTCCAAATTCGAAAATCCGAAATGACGGACGTGGCTTAAAATGCTATCTCGGCTCCTGTGCGATGGATTTTTCTGAAATTCGGTGCCAGGGTATGATACATGAAATCGCATCGATTTTTTACGAGGAATCCGAATCTGAGCTTCGATTTTGAGTATCACGCGTTCTAAATCAAAATCTGTCAAAATTCAAAAAATTCAAATTTCGAAAATCCGAAATGACTGAGGTGGCTTAAAATGCTATCTCAGCTCCTGTTTGATGGAATTTTCTGAAATTAGTGGTCAGAAGGTATTTTTCGACGGGGAACTCGAATTTATAGTCAATTTTTTAAAATTCTCAAATCCAAGATGGTCAAATATTAGAGGAAATATGTTCGCAGATTTATCAAGGTGAATTTGGCAGCGTCCGAAGGCCCATACGGCGTTTTTCCTTGCCACAGCAGAGTAGTACGTCAAACACGCTTGGCTGTGATTTATATTGTCGAGCCTGAATGGACGGTCGAACTTAGCCCAACCGTCATTTTCGACCCGGCATTTGCATGATATTAAATTTTAAGTGATAATTATGGAGGTCAGTGATATAGGCAGAATTAGCTCGTGTACGAATGACGCTTCGATGGCACTTCACGAGATCAAAATATACACGTGTGGTACTTTGATGGTGTATTAAATTTTTGATCAATGGTTCTGCAGGCGGGCAGGCCAGGACAACTCGATTTGGAATTTAACTTGAAATATGACACTTTGTGACAGTTTAAAAAAAAAAATAGGCAGAACTGTTCGGTGTGCTTCAGCAAAAAGCGTCATGTGTTACCCATCGATCTCTTCAGAAAAATGCGAAGAATCGATTTTTGAAATCTCCTAAGTGTCAACTTTTCTTTGTTTTCGAGATATTTTCGACAAAAAATGAATCTTATGTTATTTTCTAAGAGGGCTCCTGCAAAGGGGCATCAGTCGGATTGGCCAATCAGAGACAACTCGTAAAAGCAGAATCCGCTCTCAGGATCCGCAGGATTCGGACCGCAATTTGTTTTGCGGCTCTTGATTTCTCTGTGGAAATGTGAGAGTCCCTTGTAAACCATTCATCCATTCTTCTTCCGAACTCTCTGCTCCCAGAGAAACCCCCTTGGCATCGGAATAGCTTTTCTTCCTTGCAAATTATGTTCTCCAGTGGCCCGATCAAACTTTTCATCGTGGGCCAGCCAAACTCCTAGGTCTTTGTACTTTCCTCACCCTAAGGATATAAAATATTTAGTATAAAGTTTACGGTAGGAAGTGAAGGAAGAGATCAGAAGGTATCATAGCATGATGATCTGTGGGAAAATAAGCTTCATTGGCGATTGAAAGTTGCAGAGCGCTTTAGTGCGCTGAGTTAGCGAATTACATATGTTACATGTATTCTATAATTTTTCTATTTATTTACTTACATTTATTTAAAAACTGATTTATTAGTACAGCACTGTGACATTATTAATTATATTCTCCTACCTTTGTACTTACTAATATTAATTATTAAATATAATATTTCTATTCATTTATTTATTGTTTCATTCATTTATGCATACTTAACTGCTTCTGCCACTCTGTAGCACGTCTTACAACAGATTTTCACATTTAAATAAGCAGGATTTCCCATGTATAAGCAAAATTTAGCAAAGTGGGTCATTTTTTCAACACCATATGAATTTAGAAGAGGAGAAAATCTTCGTGTTTTCTACGTAATTTCTATTTAAAAATAAATCCGTCTTTCCGCTCGAAAACGCAACGACTAAACATTAGCCGAACCCACCGAGCGCAGTGCTAAAGCAACAGTAGGCATGTGCACGCACATCCGTTCCGAATGCCCCCTCCCCCCTCCAGCCGTGCTAAAATATGTAAGGAGGTTAATTGAGGCGCGGGAAAAAACGCCGCCGTGCGCTGCGCGGGTCAACTAACCCTCAGGCGCGCAACGAGAGGGAGAGCCTCTTGATTAAACCCACGGTTGCATTTAGGAGCACTTTTCCTGTCCGACGTGCCCCATCAGTACCCCCGCCCTCCCCCCTCCCCCCCTGCCCGCCACTCCATCGATCACGGCGGCGGCGCCCGGCTCGGAGTTGTGCTTTCTACTTTCATCAAGTGTCAGCTTAAATTAATTTTCCCGCACCCCCCTCCCCTCCCCTCGCCGTCCAGAAAACGGGACAACTGGGTGACAAGCAAGCCGTGACACGGCGATATGAGTGACGATGACAGGCTCGAGCCCAAGGATGCCAGATTTTTAGATTAAAACTGCGTATTTTACGCTTTGCTGTATTGGGGATACACTGGAAAAAAACACATTGGATAT